GGGATGGTTATATGAAGATAGGAAAACATCTATTTCTGGGTGGTGATGTGAGATTGTGCGCCACCATTTGTGAGTTTGAGGTCATTGCACCCACTGGTGTTTCAACAAAGCTCCTGTATTTTAGTGTGGACAGAGATTTGTTTAATTGATCTATGAGAAGGACAAAAGGAAACCCCCTATAGCTGTTATAAAAATGCTCGTCTTTTCAGTTTGTTACGCAAACAAAAATACAAACTGTTTTATATTTTCTTTAATTAAAGCTCACCGCTGCACCTTACTAACTTGAATGATTGATCCTGTCTGTAGTCCGACTGTATCCTCAGTTAAAGTACTGTCTGAACTAAGTGGCTTTCTCATCTGAGCAGCTTTTTCATTTCGTTTTATGCTCACACACATATCAAACTGCATATTTCTTTATAGCAACTTGAAGTCAATGGAAGTATTTTTTTAAATTCAATATTAAATTTAATAAACACCTATGTAAAATTAGGTTTGCGCTGCAAATGACTCTCACCTACTGTCACATCAAATTTCAGCTCAATATCTTTAAAATGGACATTTGTAACATCTTTCTGTGTCATTTCATCCTGAATTTGAGTGATTAGACTGAAAGTTTATAAGCTGTACACACATATCTAATGATTACTTATTAAAAGTTTGACTAAAACCTGCACAGTGGTCCATGAATTATTTTGCTAACACACATGTTCAGAATCAGAATCAACTTTATTGTCATTGCACAGTTAAGCAGAGTGAAAATACATTTTAGTGCAGCCGTCCAAGGACAACAAGGCAGTGGTGTAGTCTACATGATACTCAGGTATACGGCGTATACCCACTAGAAAAGCTTGAGAATGTCAGTATACCCAATGATACATGCCATATCAGTAGGCACATGTCATTGATATGTTAAACAGCAGTTAAATGCTTCTGTAACAATCTGTATGCAGCTTGTTTATTACATTCTCTTATCCAGCGCATTATTGCATAATTAATACTTCTTTACTGATTACTTAATACTTGAACATGTTTTGCTTTGATACTATTTTATGAATTCCTTTACATGTTTTTTATACAAAACCAAATGTTGTACAAAGTTTGTTGTACATTTATTCAAATATAAGCATCGGAGAAATTTGAAAATGTTAAAAATCTAAATAAATTGACAATTACATTGTACTAACCGGTGTACTTTGATTTCTAAGCTCAGTGTAACCACTACAAAAATGTAGACTACACCACTGCAACAAGGGTATAGACGGGGGTGCACGGGGGCTGCAGCTTCGTTTTGAAGTACTGCCCTTATCGTTTAGATAAGAAAGGGGAAGAGAAACATGAGGAAAGAAGGTATAGAATAAAGGTCTCTCACACCATGTCCTTGACCCGGGAAACAGTGTAAGGTAAAACATACCTCAGCCCACAGAAAAACAACATAGACATAAGACATTTTGCAGGGGGGGAGGCCAACAAAAGTGGTGAGATTATCTGTGAACACTGTCAGAAAGTTCTATAGTCCTGATAAGATGGCACAGTCTCTATCAGCCGGCTCAGCTCTGATAAGGGTCCACATATGTTCTCGGAGGGTTGTGGGGAAGCAGGAGCAGAGCTTCATGATTCACATATCCTCCAAGAGCCATTTGAGATAAGTTGGCCTATCCAAGGCCAAGTGGGGAAGCCAGATAAACAACTATTGTTTTGGGGCAAGTTGACTCTACTGATTTCATGTCTGCCTTCATAGTTCTGCTGGTACACTCAGTGGTGAATCCAAACAGACAGATGTGTGGTCATTCCACTGGCCTTCTCCAAGGTCGATTCCTTCATGCCAGCGAGTTCCAGGCTCACAAAGCATCTGAGTCTGAGCGCTTGATGCACGGTACAATCCTTCACATAGGCAGGCAGCCTGACCATTGCCAAAAACTACTGCCAACGTCTTCCTAATTTGTCGATATCCCAGGTACCTGCCAATTCCAAAAAGTAGATAATCCTGTTGTCGTAATCTAATTATGTATGCTTTGTGTGTCCCTTCAGGGCATGAGGGTTCTCCTGCATCCTGTTTTCTTGTCAAGAATACTTTATCAATTGCGTTGAGAGACCAGCTGATCAGATCCATAATTTACGATTCGGAAGATGTGTAAAGAAAGGCTCTGAGAAAGAGTCACAAGACAAAAGCAGGAGGGAGGCAGGAGAGGGGAAAGAAAGCGTCCGTCTTTGTCGAGTGCAAGTCGGGAAAAAAAGTTGAATTCAACAGTTAATGCTTTTGCAGCAAAGACCTTGTGCAATGAGGAGCACTTGGAGTAAACATGATTAACTCTTAGATATTATCGCACAGAATTTAGGACACTATTTTACTATTTTAGTGACACAATTTTAGTGTTTTTAAGGCAAGCTAGATGTGGCAGCCATCTTGAATCAGGTTGAACAAGTTAATCAAGTGTTTGACATGTTTTGACAGATACTGAGGCGGACACAGGAAAAATAGTATTGTGCATCTTTGTCTTTTGTCAACAGGCAATAAATATAGATATTAAATGATAATTAAGTATTGCTAGATGAGTTGCTGTGTAAAAATCTAATAATGAATTACAAATTAGACAGATACATCTCTTTGTTTATACCTTTTAACCTTATTTTGGTTCAACAAAGTCTAGGAAATGATTCATATATATTATATTTCATTTATCTCATATTAATCAAAAGGACATTGCCTATTGTTGCCTGTCTGACTCTTTGACTGTTCTTGAAGTTCCAATGATTTTATTGTCATTTTTACAGCCTGGCTGTTCAGATTGAAAGCTTTAAGCATCTCAGTATTCCTCGTTCTCTCCTGGTGGATTTTGTCTCGGAGCAGTGCTTCAATCTGCCAACGGAGAAAAAATGTCTTCACAAAAACAGGTTTGGATTGCAGCTTTGCCTCATCCGCTGTTTTATCGTGGCTTGCTTGTACAACAGATTATGAATTGCTTTAACTCACTGATATTTTTGTTTCCTTTCTAGATGTTCTCAAGGCTTCACTAAAGCCTCTGCCCTACATCAAGCACTTCGGAAGCCAAAGAGAAAATACACTGAGATGGGAGTTTTTAGTGACAGAAAGAAAAGGATTCCTGTTCGCCTTTATAAGCACTGCCTGAAGCTAAAGAGGAAAGATGATATAATGGTGCAGCCTAAATGACTGAAGACTGAACTTTTTTGCAGCAATATTGTTAAAAACTTCACATTTCATAAATACATTTGTATTTTTTCTCATTTAATGATTCAAAATGGCTATAGGATTGCTAATTGTTATAATACTTTATTTTATTGTAAAAACACAAGTTACAAAGTCTTGTAAGTTTACTGGAAATCATGTCATGTGAAAATAAATAATAGCTATTTTACTGTTTTTAGCAATTTAAAAATAAATCTTATTTAAATAATGCAAAAAAGTCACATTGACAAATTTTTTGAAAGTAACTTTTATTAGCAAAGTAGAAAAATGTTTTGGTCTAATAAAGAAAAATAAAACCAGTTCTTCCATGTGTCTGAAATAAGAAAAAAATACAACCTGTCAGCAATCACTACCTAAATTGAAATTTCTAAAACAACTTTAACATATAATTGCTTTTTTCTAACCTTACATTGGTCTGTTACACCTGATAGGGTTCTCTAGTGTTTCCCAACCATGGTCCTTGAGGAACACCAACCTGCATGTTTTAGTTATTTCCCTGTTTTGACTCACCTGATTTGACTAAATGGGTGATTAACAGGCTTCTGCAGAGCTGAAGGAAGTAATTAAATCACTGAATCAGGTGTGTTGGAGCAGGGAAACAACTAAAACAGGCAGGATAGTGTTCCTCAAGGACCAGTGCTCTAATTTAGTGCAGATTGATTTGGTAAACAGTTATTTTAATAAATTCTGTGCAATGTTAATAACAATATTACTAAGGAATGTAATGAGAAATATTACACTGAGACAGGGAAAAGGACTACATATGTAAATTCAAAGTTTTGCATATAACTTATAACATAAGCTGTAGGCAAAAACATACAATGGGCTTCATAAAAACGTCAAAATGCAAAATTACAACTAATAAAGAACCAACGTTTAAATCTACAATGTGAAGGAGGAAGAAGGTTATGAAGTCATCACTAAACTCCCATGGCAATCTGTCAGACAATAAAGTGGACGAAAATACACAAGAAAAAGCTGAAAGCCCTAACCATAACTGTCCCACCTCTGTGCCTAACAACTGAAGCAGTAGTATTTTTGGTCAGTTCTGCACCTCTTTTCATTTTTCCATTCTTTAAAATTTTCATCAGCCTGTGCTGACTCTGTGGCATTTTATCACCCTGAAGTGTTTTCACAGTAATCCTTATTTTGATTCCCTTCCTTTTGATTGAATGAAAGTTATTTTGTTTAACATTCAAATGAGGGACTCTAAACTCGCTTAATGTAAATTTATCTTTCAGAGTATAGCAGCTGAGGCCGGGGGTTGTAAAAACTGCAGGAAGGTTGCACACTTTTTGTTCTTTATTTAGTTAAACAGTAATATAAACTCTTTAAATAACAATAGTTTGGGTAAGATTAAAGTAAGTTTTTCCAGTCGTTATGATGAGCTCGTGATATTTTGACAGCTATGCTTCTGGGCGCGCGGTGCATGCTGGGAGCAGTCAGTCGGCCTTGGAAACATGGCCTCGCGCTGACAACTGCTACCTTCTCCAGGCACTGACACAGCGGCCGGCCCGGCACCGGAGGCGCATGCGATGGGATTTTAACCGTAAAATGAATTCACCGGAGGCGTGATTTCGTCCCGAGCGGACTGCCGTTTCAACAGCGCGACGCAATAACGGATTTAGCGCGAGTGTCACGCCCACTGACTCAGTTCGGTAACGTTTTGCTGTACGGTAAGTTAGCTCAGTTTAGCTAACCGAGGCAGCGGGAAGAGAAACTGCCGCTGCTGCTCGTCCACTGCCCGGCTGTTGTCTGTGAGTGCCCCCGCTCTGCCCTGCCAGACCCCCTCCTTAGATAAGACCGCGGCAGTTATGTAGTAGGTCGTTAGCAGGCGGGTTTGGGGCGTTTCTGTCATTCTGTCACTGAATTTTTAATGTTCGACCCCTTTGGCATCGCTGTTGGAGGGGAGAGCGATGGGCTCCGGGGCTGTGGATTCGTCCCAGTGGCTCTCGGTGAAGGAGGAGACGATATTTCTCCACGACGGACTCATTCGGGTCACGGATCTGGCCGAGCTGCCCAGTGAGATTGGCGTGTCAGAACAGGGGGACACCGAACAGGAGGTGGGTGAAACTGAGTGCCATTCTCACACACTAAAGCTGCACAAAGATTTATAAATACGGAGACACACATCTGCAATGTGTCTTCTAGTTCATTATGATGTAGAAGGGTTTCTTTTCCCGCCCCTTGCTATACAAGCTTAGTGATAACTGCAGCGCCGACGTTTGCAAGTTTTTTTTTTTGCTATTGATTTACGGTCAAAGTCCACTGCAGCCAACCTACTTCCTGTCGCTACTTTCAAAATAAAACCCCATTAGAACGCTGCAGTCAAAGCAAATGGTAATGTACTATTATTAATGAATCACAACTTTCAAAGAAGTTCAAATTTATATAGATTTTGATGTTTCTTTAAAATGAGTCTCGAGTGTAATAGACATGAAATTAATATTTGGTCTGTAAAACAATAATGATACAAAAAAAATATAGTAAAATAACTAGTATTTGTGATCAGCTGGCAGTTTGGCACCCTTTGTTGTTTAACACCCAGTGTAGCGCACTTATCATTCGCAAAGTAGTTGTTTCTACATAAACGCTTAGCTGAACAAATTGCTCATTATTTCCCAGGTCAGATGTTCATATTTAAATTTGATGTGAATTTTACATTATTTTGACCTAAAACTAGTATGCAAGATAGACTTAAGAAATGTTTAACCTTTTAAATGGTTTATGCACTTTTATTTCGAAGGAAACCGGACGTCATCGTCACGTCCGGCTTTAGTTCGACAACATCAAAGCTGATCGAAAAACGTCGAGCTACAAAACGATGTATAATTCCAAACGTCATATGTTGATTCACTGTCTTTTCAGAAAGTTTGACCTGGGGACGTCTGCCAGTTTGTAGAGGACACATTTCCGTCTCATGTCTCTGGCTTATGTCTATTGTGTGGTCAGTTTAGAAGAAGAGCTGATGTCACCTGATGAGCCCATAGTCCCTGAGGACAAAAACCTACAAAAAGTATAAGCTGCAAAGCAACAATTACTCACCCAGTTCTTGTTGACTTCTCTCAGAATATCCCCTTCAAGCCAATAATCTTGTGTAATCAACCCAACACTAGAAGTTCTGGATTTTAAACTAAATATTACTATATTTAAGGTGGCATTTTGTTCATCACTTTTACTCATAACATTAATATCAAACACTCTAATCTTACTTTATATATTGATTGGATTTTGCTGTACGTTCACCTATTCAACTTCAGTCTGTTTTATTACCACAACATACCATTTGGTTTTGCTGTCAGACATTTGTTGTATTATTCAAATGACCAATTTGTCTTTAGCGTCTCAGTTTCGGTACAACTGTATTTTCAGTTCTTAATGTTTGTACTAGTTTTAGAACCGTGACAGCAGAAGTTTTGTTTTGTTCAGCCAGAAGTCTTTCAACTGTGAAAAACACGTTGCACTGATTTATTTATATTATTAATATTATTAGTATTAATTATTTTTTGCAACATTCGAGGGCTATTTGTGCATTTACACCAACCTAAATATTGCAGGCAACATTCGCTTGCAAATATATTTGCATCCTCATCACTGTGGCCTGCAGCATTTTATGACTCCAAAGTATGGACGTTTTGTTGCTTTAAATTATTCAGCTCCCATACAACGTGATACATTCCATAAATTTGTTGCTTTAAGTATGTATTAGGTATTGTTATAAGGAGAGGAGATTTTTGTTCGGTCTTAACAAAAATGGGACCATGTATGCAGATACCGGTAGTTTAAGGTGTGTAAAGGGACTGTACTTATATAACGTTTTTCCATCTAATCAAGATAGTCAAAGCATTTTACAGCGCAACCTGTGCCCTCATTTACAACACTACTATTTCTGTGCAAAGAATAATCAGTGCTTTCACATTCATACACTGATGGGACACACATCTGAGGCAATGAGGGGTTCAGTGTCTTGCCCAGGGACACTTCAGCATGTGACTGCTGCTGGAATCAAACCCCCAACTTTCGCATTGGAGGACGACTGCTCTAACCACTCAGCCACCCATACACTTGTAGTGATTTTTTTTTTCTTAATTTGGAAACGGTACAGGTTTTTAGTACCAAAAAATGTTTACTATTTGTTTTAAAAAGTATAAATTTATATTTTTAGATGATAGATTCCAGACTCAAATTTAAACATGAACTATGAAAATAGGACAAAAAATAAACTTGGTTTGTCTTTGGGCATATTAGGATTTCACATGGTTCTTGCTATTTGTGTCCAAGCTTTAAGACTGATTGGGTCATGTAGATCTGGTTTAGTGGTTGTGATGTTGACTTTCCCTTTTAATCCACTGGTCTCCAAATTTTTCAGACATATGTGGAGAAAGCCTAACGTCCAGATAAAGGGTGTTACTGTAACACGAGTAGGGTTTCTAAAATCAAATCAATACAAATTGTGCCAGCTAAATGGTATAATGGATTTTTTTTTTCCAGTTTATGATTTGGGGGCTGCAGAATGTAATCGATATCTGAGATGTTGCCTAAGTGCACACGAGGCGCATTGTTTCACTTGTGATATACTACACCTAATGATCTTTGCTGTTTCTGACCATCAGTCCAAAGGACTGTATAGATGAGAGTCCACTCCACCAAAATTAGTTTAGTTAGACCAGATCTAGATGATCTTTTGCTTAATTAAGAAATACATATTACACATTACATATACACGTGTATACATATACATACAATATATTACATGTAACATATTACAAGTATTTGTGTTACTACTTTAGTTGCTTATGAGCCTAAAAAACAACCACTTGACTGTTAAAAAATACTGAAGTAAAACTTTGAAGTCAGGTAAAGTAGAACAGAGAGATGGGCTGAATTATAAAACTCGAAAGCTACTTTGAAAACTGAAAGTTTACACCTGCTTCTCTAAATTAAACTTTTTGTTTTTATTTGAAATATTTCTGTTTAATATAATGAATAATGGATCTTAGTTCCAAACACTGTACTCTTTTTTTTTTTTTTTTCAGAATTACAGCAATTACTGTTCTAAATTTGTCAGCTGTTGATATATATATATATATATATATATATACACTTTAATATCTTCCTCATCCTTCTTTTTTCTTTTCTAGATTCTTACTTTTGAGACGAAGAACCCTGTAGAGCTTGCTGAGCGCCTGCGTGCTGTCTGTGGGAATCAAAGCAACGCGTACGCTCGTCTGCTGGAGTATCGCCTCAATGCTCTGCGTGGCCTGTGGGCAGCACAGCGGCAGCTGGCCCTCGAGGAGCAGCAGGAGCGAGAGGGAACAGGAGGGGCTGACGAGGAGACCTTAGCCTTACTCAAAAGACAAGGTCTGCTGCAGCAACCCGAGCAGGCTCCCTTCACGTCTCGTGTCGCCCTGCTGCTGGTCTTCCCCCTTTTGCAGTCTCAGACTCGCAGTGACCCAGCACTGTGCGGTGTAACTGCAGAAGTACTTCTAGCCTGCCTCCGGGACTGCCAGCCGCTGAGCCTGAGCAAAGAGCCCGCTGACTGCCTCAATGGTCTGGAGGGCTTACTGTGCTCCTGGCTGGAAGACGGAGCTCAGGAGTCGGGCCAGCCTCAGGGCCAGGCTTGTTCACAGATTCTGCACACGCACAGGCAGCGGGAAAATGCTGCTGCTGCTCTGGTGGCACTTGCATGTGCCAGGTGAGTCCATACTTTCTGTCTTTGTCATTTTTACTCTATTTGTACCCTTAACTATTATAACCTGTCTGATGGCTGATACACAGAATAATGTTATCTTACTACAGTAACTGTATTACCACTAAGTAATTGACACTTTTTATTTTTTAGCCTCGATTGATGGTAAATGTTCTTGACTTGTCACAAGCCAACTTCCTTTTTTTGTTCAGCCTCAGTTTGTTATTTACAGCCAAGAGCTTTTTGTTGTGTGGAACCGTCCAGCTATTGTGCCTTTTTTCCTGCAGTTGGCAATCAATGGGCGATCGCCTTTACTCCCACATGACCTCTGGGGCCAGTCTGTGGGTCATTGTATGTGAGGGCTAACCAAATGGACTAGATTTAAAATAGTCTCCAGTAGAAAAGTGTAAACAAGAACACCTGCAGATTCACGTGCGCCAGCTGTGGCTCAGCTAAGCAGTGAATCAAACATGCATTTGCATCTGAGAATGCTGAATTACACAAAGTTCCTCTTTTGCAAAATATTGTTGCCATTTAAATAATTAGATAAACATGATAATTTAGGTTTGTTCAGACATTGATCAGTTCACTGCACAAAGCTGCTCGTCCCTGCTATAAAAGAATATCTGTTGTTTTCGTCAAGAATATTTTTACTCACTCATTTTCATCAATAGGTATTTCTTATCTCCAATATTCAAGCAGATTTAATTTCTTTTCAATCCCAGAAATAATCAGCAATCTTCTTTCACTTGTGTTTCATGCTGAAGCCTCCTGATTAAAGTGCCAAACTATTTTTTTAGGGGCTCCTTGAAGACGTTTATCCACACAGTTCACCTGCTGCAAAAACAAACAGATCTGGGCCAGCTTCCTGTGTCAGATGTACTTTACAGGTGAGGGAAACAGAATGGTATCACTAAACAAGAGACTTTAACAACATCTAAACCCGTTGTGTCTCTCTTGTGCCAGACTTTTGCTCCTTGAAGGAGGCCCAGGCTCTCCTTCCTGCCTCTTGGGCGGCAAACACAGTGTGTCCTGGGGTTTTGAGGACATGTTGCCCACACCTGATAACTCTGCAGGAGGTGCAGAAAGTAAAGGTAAAAACTACTCTGAAACTAAATTGCCTGTTTGACCGGACACTTCATCGTTTCTTCTTTTGATCACAATTCTTAAAATTTAATAAGAATGAAAATGGTGCCCCTCTTTTAGCATCTTAACTCTCTCACGTGGTTCTCTAAACACTTCTTTTAAACTATAACAATGCTTATGATTGTAATTTGTTTTTCATATTTTTCTTTAAAGACACAGACCTAGGACGTTGTCTAGCCACAGATGGATTATATCTGTATTCCACAAATTCCTCTGGGAGAGGACTCAGCAAGCTTGGCTCTGGTTTACATGGGACACTGAGGTAATTTGACACTCATTCCAATGTGTGTTTCATCCTCTGCATCAGTCAGTAAATGACAAGAACAAAAACAAGACGGAGCAATGAAACACTAAAAACATCTTTTCACTTGTCTGTCCAGAAGCAATTATTAGATCCATTATTTCCCATAAAAAAAAGAAACTCTTCACACTTCTTTTCTTTGTTTTGATCAGCTTTAAAGAAACTATAAAGGAATTCATCTGAATTATAACGTCATACCCTGGTTGCAAATTACTTGTAGATCGAAAGCAACTTTCTTCAGTATAGTCAAAAGCTCTTGGAGAAGCTGAAACTTGTGTAACTTAATTTAGCAGATTCTGTTCCAGAAACACTTTTGCTTTGTCGTTTTTGTCTGAGAAATAACCTTGAATGCAAGCTATTTTGTTGAGAGAAAGGATGCAAATGTGATGAGACAACAACCTTTCTCTGTACACTCACATCTGGATAAAGCTGCAGCAAACTGCTCTGCTGAGGTCTTGCAGCAGGGCTGACCATTAACTGATGCCAATCATTTCACTTGTACTTTACCAAGTGTAGCTGTTTAAAGCATGGTTTGCCTCTCAGCTAGCTTGGTGACACTTTTTCCCAAGGATATACTGTCAGTAACTTGTCACCATCAGCTCTTGTTATAGTAAACATGATGGTTGGCAATTAATTGAGTTATTGCACATAAAAGAAGACGGACTCTATTTGTACATTATAATGTCAAAAAGTTCTACTTTATTACGTGAAAAATGTTACTGGTAGTTATCGTTTAACTACAGTGTAATAGTTACTGGAAGACCGTTGCTAGATGAAGGAAAACAACCATTGAAATTATGTGAAGATGTTGGATTAAGGGCTATACGTGTAGCTAACTGACAAAAACGGAAACTGGAAGCTGGTGTCACACTTAGACAAAGCCTAAAGCTTCAGCTGATAACGGTAGAAAGAAACTATGAAGAAACTTAAAAAAAAAAAAAAGACCAAAATGCCCATCTAATTTGAAAGACCGAGCGAAAGCACACTGTGTGTGATAAAACAGGAAACGACAGCATGTTTATGTGAGAATGAACTCGCATATATAACCTTATCTTTGAAGGACAGACCGTTTTAAAAATATCTAATGGTTTACAGTGAAACAAGCATTTATTTCTCTGTTTCTGTTTTGACGTTTGTTGCCTTTTTAAAACTGCAGAGCCGCGAAAATTACTTTCTGTTTAGGCAAATGTCACCTTGCATCACAAAAATTGAATTCTGAAGCTCTTCATTTCAGAATGTTTTTTTAAAACAAGAAATTAAAATTAACGTTACCAACGTGTTTAGTAGCAGCTGCGCTTCTTACAATTTGTTTAATGTTTTGTTGACTGGTGGTAATATGATGCTTAGTTGAATCTAATTTTGATTGCACATAAATATGCTGTGCACAATCCCTTATAGGTTTTCCAACAAACTCGAGTAAATGTGATTCGCATCACACAAAAGTAAAGTCTGTACTTTGTATTTGTTTAGGGGTTTTGTGTACTGTAGAAATGAGGAGCTGGAGCCTGGCTGGGTAGTTTTCTGCAGCGGTCGCCTCCTCCATCGTCCTTCTTCCTTTGATGCCAAGCCTCATCAGCTGTGCCAGGTTGTTGACCCCTTCACTCTCCAGGTACGGTTTGCTTACAATCCACTGTTGCGAAATTGGTCATTAAATCATTCTGTGAATTTATTTGAAGTTTGTATGCAGCTGTCAACACTAGCTGTGAATAGGGATGTTCCGATCCACTTTTTTTTGTGTGTGTCATTTTCAATCCAATACCGATACATGTTTGGTATCGGCCAATACCGATCCGATATCGATCTGATACAGAAAATCAGTGCTGAATTAACAAAAATGGCTAAATCATGTCATCTGGACCAGTTTCTGAAACAGGTTCAGATGACATGATTTAGACATTTTTGTTGTCTACCTGGATGATTGAGCTTACAAATTCAGTGCTGAATTAATTTAAAACATTTGTTTTGTTAAACACAGACATGAATGTACTGAATTTCAAATTTATTGAAAACTCTGCACCATAACAGCACACTTAAGTACACCAAGAGCTTCACCAGCTTGGTCATACATGTAAAAACAACACAACTTTATTTTGTTCAGTCAGTACACTAGCACAGGATGTCACTCAGAGCACAAAGCATAGAGTTAGAGTGAATAGATCTGCCCAGTCGTGGATTAGTCACATTGTCACCGATACCCGATCCAGATGTTTTTCTATATCGGTACTGATACCGACATTGGTATCGGATCGGTGCATCTCTAGCTGTGAACTCCCTCTGAAGACTCATAATTATTTTTACACATAATAGCAGTGTAGCATAGGTATGAATAAGGTACAGTGTGCACAGAGAGTGAAGTGTGTATATTATGGTAGAGTCAATTTATCTGTAGAATTTATTAAAAATAACAGCTTTAAGTTGAACCAACTCTAAGATTCATTGCTTAATGTTTAGTTGTGCCAGATCGTGCCCATGCCAGCTCATCACTTCCCTGTGGGCAGCAGCATGACCACGCTGCACCTCTGCTCAGATGGAACTTACCTGTACTGGATCTGGTCCCCAGCAAGTCTCAATGAGAAGACACAAAAAGGCCACTCTGTCTTCATGGATGTCTTTCACCTGTCGGTGAGTGTTTTCTTTACCTCGCAGTATAATCTCAACTTTATGTATTTTGTTTGTTCTTCTGCTTATTGATGCTTTCTTTCTGCTCTCCGTGGCACAGACACAAACAGGGTTGTGTGTTGCCGACATCTTACAAGAACGGGTTATTCTCACTCGCAAAGATGGCGAATCTTCCAAGTGCTTGAATGAACTTCTCTTGAGTCGAATGTCACGCTTCCGGGCCTCCCATTCTGCCACACTGGCTGCTCTCACAGGCTCTGCAGTCACCAACACTGTAAAAGAGGAACAGTCTGGTAATGGTAGAAGACTTCTTATGGTTCAAAAATAATGCACAATGTAATGTTCAAACGGTATTAAAGTATTGTTGTTGTTTTTTGTGACTCCTTTGTATTGTTTTTCTTCTCCACAGCTGTCAACACTAGCTGTGGACTCCCTCTAAAGACCTTAAGAAAGACCCCAATGTATGTGTGTGGGACCTATCTTGTAATGTTGGTCTCACCTCCTGGTGTATCTGGGAGCTCTGCCACACGATCCTTATTTGGAGGCACCAGCAGCCTGTCCTCTCTTAAAAGTAAGGTCTGACACAGACGGCTCAGGAGGTTTTATTATGCCATGATGTTTACGTTTGTTTTGAGCTTTTAAAATTTTATCCAAGCATTGTACATGATGTTTTCTAGCTACTTTTATTTGCTTAAATAAGTCTATTATATAATTCCATAAGTAAGCATTAATAATTATTTCAGCTGTTGTAGCTCAATTATTTTTAAAAGTTTAATGAATAGTAACTTTTTTAATATTACTTTTGTTCAGTTTTAGCTTCCAGCCTGGTCTTTAACTTGGCTGATGGCCAGTTCAGCAGCCGTGCAGACCTCATTGATGCTCCTGGCAGTTCTCTAGGCAGAGGAGCCCAAGTGGCAGGGCTAGGTGAGCTCAAACTTGTCTCCTATAGTACTTTAATTTACTGAGTCATTGAATTTAAAGCCCATAAGTAACCTTTTCTGTTTTTTTTTTTTTTTTTTTTTTAACTTCAAAGGAGCATGCTATGATGCGCTGAACAACCTGATCTGGACCTGCTCCAGTGATTACATAGATCAGTGGTGCAATCCTGGGAACCAAGCCTTTCATCATGTGTGCCATAGGCTCGGTGTTAGCCATGTCATCAAAGTACCCAAAGGTACTGATACCACAGGTCTTCCCTTTTTTTAATATTGCCAGACATGAGACAACCTGAAAACTCTGTTCTTCCTCAGAGGAAACCGTGGCCACTGGCGAAGTGATCAACCAGCTACTTCATCATGTAGGTGCTATGTGTATCCACCAGCTCAACCTGCTTGCAGTTAGCAGCAACAGCCTGCCACTGGAGGCACTACTGGGAAAACAACATCCCATCGAGGCCTGTCACTTCAGCAGCATCTGTGACATTATGGAAAAGGCCATGGTCACTGGAGATACCTGCATTATTCGCTGCATATTGGTGGTGTTCCAGGTCTGTTTCAGATTCGCCTAGGATAAGTTATGTAGAAAATGAGTCTATCCTTTTCAAAATTATTTTTTAAAATCCTTTTGTTTGGCTGTCTCATGCAGGTGGTGTTCAGGTTTTTCAGTCCCCAGTCGGAACAGGACAGAGAGAGTGTTCGACGTTCAGGGTTACTCCTCTGGCAGCTGCTCATGGCTCCCATGGATCAGATAGGAACAGAGATTCAAAGAGAGGTGTGCCTGGCCATCAGGTACATCAGAAATTCATCTTACAGTATATATTTAAAATAATTTAGATTGAGTAGCTATAATTGTTTTTATTCACCTCTTCATGTTGTCTGTTTCTGCAGCTCAGGCCTGAACACACTGTATCTGGGGGAGGCAGAACTCGACAAACTACTGAAACTCGTTCTTACTGAAGGTGATGTTTAAGAATTTTTTTATTTTTCATAAACTTGCACATCCTTTATTTAGTTGCTGATTTATCTTATGTAGTTTGTTTTGTGTAAAATACTCAGGTGAAAGAAACAGTGGCCTGTCTCAACTTCGAGATGTCATCCTTACCAACCTTGCAGAACAACTGCAGAAGAATAGATTTGGGAGTGAAGAAGATGACCACTACAGGTACTTGCCTTTATGTAACTTGTGGCTCATCCGACTCTTCCACTTGGACAGGTCCACTTCACTTCAAACTGTGGTAGTGGTGATATATGTACGGTAGCAATCCTAACTGACTAACATCAGGAAAAAAGAGCACTAGAAGCTTCATCAAAGTTCATGCTCAATAATCCAGGTAAAGAAATCCAACGATGTTCAGTCAGGGCATGAGAAGATGGAGAATTGCCAAGGACTGAGAGGAAATATAGAAGTTGTGGAGTGTCAAAGCGTCAGCTGTCCCAGTAGTCAGTGGAGCACTCGGTGCTGTGAGCCCCAAACTGGAGAGTGATTCCAACAGATCCCAGGAACATCCTCATAGATCTCGTCCAGAAGAGCACAGCCCTAGGAACCGCTGAGATATTGCACAGATCCCCCAAACTGATGTTAAGGGTGTCCCCCTCATGATGTCCGCTGCACAATAAATTCTTACAAGTTGCAAGTTTGGTTTTCCAGTTTCACTTGTTGCTTGTTTCCACAGCAAAAGTGTTAAAAAAAATCACAGTTTACAAGTAAATTACTCTTTTGCAGACTAAATGATGAGCTGCTGCATTGTGTTCTCAAGACCGTAGTCCGGGAATCTTGCCTCCTCATCACCAAATGCCAAACAGTCGCCAGGGATGACTTCCAGAAGCTGCTCTCCACTGTACCAGTATGAATATCACTTCAGCAGCTTTTAATTTATGTAATGATAACCAAAACCACAAGTTTTAAAGATTTCATCAACTTTTATTGTATTTTTTTTTTCTTTAAAGGTGGTCTCACCTAGCCTGCGCTACCTCATGGCTGTTCAAAACCACCTCCTTAGTAACACCATTCTAATTCGTCCCGATGAAAGTGATGACAGTGACAACTCCCTACAAGGGGAAACAATGAAGGTACAGGTAAACATCCCCTTTAACTACCCCTACCTGTGTGCAGTTTGTGTATCTGTCGGAGAAATCCAACAAACCAAGAAAGCAGTGGGTTGTGAAAGCCTATTAAGGGTTGTGCTTAATGTTTTGTATATATTACAAGTTTAATGTTAACAGTTAACACCGCTATTTAATTTAAGCTGCATTTTGACCCCATAAGGGCGTGTCCTATACCATGTCCTCAAATTAAGAACTAAAGAGCTTTAGAAGGGGTAGTAATAGGCCTTTCAGGATGGAGCTTGCATTGCTGAACATTTCTGATTGATTGTGAGACATCATTCAAATCGTTGTATTGCTGCCTTATTTTATTTTTTGCAGTCATCTAATAATTTCCACAACCACTCATAAACTCTGATGACGTTAAATTATACCACATGGAAAATTGTCACTGTTTGTAATCATGACATTCATATCTAGACACTCATGACCAGGGGTCTGCAACCTTTAGGATCAAAAGAGCCATTTTTACACCTTTGTTCACTAAATTAAACATTTCCAGAGCCACAACAACCTGCTACAACTGTGATTATCAACTGGTGGCCCATGGGCCACTTTAGGTTTGTTGGAGGAGACTTTGGTGGTCAGTAGGGTTGACATTATAAAGCTAAAAATATCTAATGATTTTTAACATTTATGGATACTTTTACAATTTAAAATAACTGAAAAGACCAGATTCTTGTAAAGAGGGGGAATTTTTTTTTTTAAATTAAAAAGACTATGAACTATGCAAACCTGTGATTTTTTTTAAATATTGAAAAGTAAGTATAGAAATAAAGCAAAAAGTTAAAGTGCATATTTACAAAAGAAATGACAGGAAAAACAGCTAAACCTAGTTATTTTTTGTTGTTTGTATAACAACCAATAAAATTCAGTTTTATGTTAGTTTTGTTCAAAGCTTGAAAGAGCCGCTACAGAGAGGCCGAAGAGCCACATGTGGCTCCAGAGCCGCAGGTTGCAGACCCCTGCTCATGACCATTTCAGTCAGCCAGAGAGCCATGGTTTACAACAGTGTAGTCGTGCAAGCTTCAGAATGGAAAAAGAAGAGCTCAGAAAACAAAAAGAGCAAGGAAACAATAATAAGACTTTTTTCTTATTGTTTTACAGTTTTTTTTTTTTACTAACAACTTATCTCCCCACCAAAGAAGAGTGTAACATCAACTTAGTTCTGTGTAAACACACTTTCTTCTTCCAGATGAAATCTTAACCATATAATTTTTTCACAACCTATGAAATTGGTAAAATGTATTAATTGTTACCACTGATAATGTTGGAGGCAGTGTTACGTAAGTGTCTGCCTATTCTGTGATTTCCTCAGGAGCTGCAAAGCAGCATCTTGTCACTAGCAACAAAAATCCTGGTGGGATGTGACGAAGTGCTGGAGACCCTGCAGCAGGTGACCACAGCTCTGATAAACAGCGACATAACTGACAGAGAGACCAGGTAATAAACGTTTGTATTCCAGCCTCATGTGTCTAACCAAAATAAAAGATTTAGCTTGATGATTATTTTAAAACAAGCAGTGCATGAGCAAGTAGATATGGGACAATATTTTTATAATCCATTTGGCATACTTGCCTAGTTTCTTTCTTTTTCTGCCTTGTGTCTTTCACCTTTAAATTAACTTCTCCTCCCTTCCTTCATTGTTCAGGTTGAAGGGTTTGGAGCAGGTTACCAAGGCTACTATGCTTGGGCATCTGCTGCCTGTGCTGCTCACCTCTCTGATGCACCCCACCTTGCAAACCCTCACCCTTGCTGATGCTCTCATGCCTCTGTTGGTGCAGCTAGTGCTCTATACTAGTCAGGTTTGGATATTTAAAATCTAAAATAAACTTACAGATGTAAATCAAAACGATAATGGTTTTATTTTTGTTTTTTGTTTTCCAGACTGCCTTGTTACTAAAGACCCAGTCTCCTCTTTTTACTGAGGAGCCTGTGTCAGGAAGTGGCTCTCTGGGGCAGGGAGCAAAGGCCTGTACTGCTGATGACAAGTGAGTTTTCAAAAAAGCAAAACAACACAATTATAAGAATGTTAGGCATGAATTTGTAAATCATACAGGAATACTTTATCTACGATGGACATCATATTGTAATCAATGCTCAAAAACTCATTTTTATCTAATCCTTGAAAACAGGATTCTTGATGAACGTGAGGAACCAGGTTTCCTGACTGGATTGAAGATCCCTGCCCCATGGGCAGCTGGGAAAACAATTGAGACAATGCACCCTGTGAGGGATAATTACAAGTTCAAAGAGACGGTACATATCCCAGGAGCTCGCTGCCTCTACCTTCGCTTTGATCCTCGCTGCTCCTCGCAGTATGACTATGACAAGGTAATCGATCACTCACCAGGTAGCGTCTCTCAGTGCAATGACCCTCGTTCTTTGGAGCTCCTGTGCAGATTTTGTGCAGTTTTTCAACTTTAACATTGGTTTGGTTTTGGTATTTTTAGTTGGTTATCTATGCTGGTCCCAACACCAACAGTCGTAAAGTAACAGAGTATGGAGGAAACACTCTGGGCTACGGCAGTCGTAGTGTTCTGGGAACAGGATGGCCTAAAGACCTTGTTAAGGTGATGACAGGCATCATTCAGACGTACACGAGAAACCTATATTTTGTTTACAGTCTTATAAGGGCTGTGTTTCTTTTCCAATTTTTTTAGGTTGAAGGAGACACCGTTACATTTTCTTTTGAGATGAGGAGTGGACGAGAGCACAACACTCCTGATAAAGCCATGTGGGGGTTCTCTTGCACTGTCAGAGCTCAGGTGATAAGTGGATGCTCTATCTTTTTCCTAACATGCCTTTACAGTTGATTTGTTATCCTGGCATGATGAATAGCAGCTCTGAACATCTTGTTTGTTTTGCTGTCAGGAGTCCTCTGATGACGTCTCTGGAGGGCTTCCATTTCTTGCAGACCTTGCACTGGGTCTGTCAGTGCTGGCTTGTTCAATGCTCCGCATTTTATACAATGGGCCAGAGGTGACAAAAGAGGAGGAAGCCTGCCATGATTTACTGTGCTCAAAGCTGCTGCAAAGGTGACACAGCCAAATGAAAATACTACAAAATATTCCCCTGCCACATTGTTGGGACATACAGTGTGCTTTGTACATAGCTGAAAGATGAGCATCTGGTTACAGTTTTTGTTTTCTGTGTCCAGGTGTCAGTGGCAGGTGGAAGCAAATGGTGCTATTTCTCCTGCTCTCACACCTAGCCCCTCACCTCTGCCACTTACCATCGAGGAGGATCGGGAGTTTACCTACCCCTCCGATGTGCTCATCCCACCTCCAGGCCTCATGCCAGGGACATACTTTGATTTGCCTAGGATCCGTCTTCCACCAGGGATCATGAGTAGGCTGAGAGAAGTGTCTGGAAGAGCTCGCCCTCAGTTCCGCCCTAGCATCAAGTAAAGGGATCATATTATCACATAAATTAAAATTTCAAAAGTATTTTGTTCATAACTACTACAAACAAGCTTTCTGCAAATAAAGCACAGTTGGAGGTGGAAAACTTAAAGGAGTATACTGAAACAGTATTTTTTCTACCAAATAGTTCGTTACAAATGAAGTTTTAATTATTTTCATTACATTGACATACTGTGTGACTGAAGTAGTAGTAGTAGACTTTCTGGCTCAAGCATGGTACTGTTTTTACAAAAGTTGCAGAGCTTTGGAGGTATCCATCACTCAGATGTCTACTTTTTATTTTTATGGAAGTGGATTCTACTGAGCTTGTGCTATTCAAAGCTACAACAAGAAAACATGTTTTAAAGTTTTAAGTTAATTTCTGGGATGATTAAGCATTTAGGTTAACAATAGTAGTATATTAAGAATTATATTTTCTAATTCTATTGAGTCTGTTTAAAGTTTCCAAAGCAATTTCATAATGGATAAAAGCAGTAAAGGGGTTCTATGTTTCTAACTCTTGTTGCATCCATCTGTTACATTTTAATATTTGTGTATTCTTCCAAAGCTGAGCTTACTCACAGTCTGACATTTTCATCTTGTGGGAAGCAATTTGCTGCTAAGTTTACAATTTAGATAAAAAAAAATGCTGTTATAGTTTACATTACCACTTTTCCATCAACAAACTCATGCTTTTTGTCATGAAATCACACACCTCTGAGCAATCCTAATGTCTGAGCCTTGTTTCCTTCATCAGAAGCACATGATAACTTCTATTATATTGTTTTGTGTAAGGGAGGTGATCCGACCAGATGTCCTGGAAGAGGTCATAGTGTCCTGCGTCATAAAGCATCTAAGTCTGGTGGATGCTCTTCAGTCGCTTGTCAACTATCAGTATCGTGAAGACCATGCAGAAGAATATGACCTGGTGTGTAAGATTATGGTTGAGACGTTTAAGAAGATCAATGCAATGGAGCGTCAGCTGCAGGTACGCTCCTGCTACACAGTCAAGTTTTAAAAACATGCCATCCTTAGATTTGCCTGTCACTATTTCAAAATCTTCCAAGCATTTTGAGCATTTCCAGCTTCTAATAATACTATTGGAGAAGGTTTAGATGATGTATTTGAAGTTGAAATAAGGTTGACCAGGTGGCCTGATTTTAGCTGGTTTCCAATCTGAACACACCAACAACAAAAAGAAACTCGGAAGATTTATTCTGTGTGTAATTTTGTCCTGCTTTGCTTTTAGAGTGTTGCAGAATTGGAGCAGAAGTGGCAGAATGAGGTAGAGGAGGCGCAGCAAGGAAAACTGGAAAACAACACGCCCTTTTTTCATGACTACCACTTCTTTGAGGTACCCTTGCTTCATACACTCACCGTATTTGCATTTATCCTTAAAAGTAAAAAAAAAACCTCTTCACCAAGTACAGTTTATGCATAACTAATCACAGACCTTTTTTTTGTACCAGAACAAAATGAAGGAACTAGAGTTACTCTGCTCACTGAAGGAAATCCCATTTGATTTTAGTGACTTGGAAAATGTTGTTCTTGCACTGAGGTGAGTAAATGAAAACGTTTTAACATAGATTGTCTCAGGTGAGGTCTTCAGCTGTAACATAATGCATCTACAACAACAGGGAGAAATTCTTTCATGACGTGAACACCACGCACAGCAGAAGCATCGTCCCACTTGCTAAAACCAAAACTTTGGTAAAAAGTTTGATGAATCGCTCTGAGCTGCTTCTCCACGTTACCATCGCTCCACATTGTAGAAGTCTAACCTCCACACCAGCTGGCACGCCAGGTCCAGGTACACACATTTCTCTTTTGACTAACAATTTTGTTGACGAAACGGTATGCATTTGTTGTCTTTTAAACGAATATTCATTTTTTGTTGCATTTTGGTTTTGCTAGCCTCTAAATCAGTGTCAGATGCCAAAACGGTAATCCCCTTGGTCAAGCAGCCAGTCTTTTTGCGCAGCATGTCTGCCCCTTCAGACTTGGAGATGATTGCTAACCAAGATTTAGAATTTACACACGCTCCTCAAAGGTATTTCTATTATTTATATTTAAATATTAAAGATCACTATATCAATAAATAGCAGGATGTTGAACATATTTCTTGTTTTGTATTGATTTTCAGAAGGAGACACCACCCGTCCAGTCATCGCAGCAGCTCATTTACTTTGCTTCAGTCTTTGGCTGTAGAGGACAGCCGGGACAAGCCAACATACAGTGTGCTGCTGGGACAGCTCTTTGCCTTCATCGGAACTACACCTGATCAGGCGGTACGTTGTCTATATGCAGTATTCCTGACATTCCCCCAATATGGTAATCATAATGTTGTCAAATCTGGTTTGACGTGAAACATGTCACATTTGACGTAGGTGTCCAGCAGCAGCTTTTTGTCAGCCGCACAGACACGCTGGAGACGAGGCAGCACGCGCAAGCAGGCACTAATTCATATGAGAGAATTACTAACTGCTGCTGTCAGAGTGGGTGGGGTAACTCATCTGGTGGGACCTGTCACTATGGTGCTGCAAGGAGGTCCAAGGTAAGAAACTCAACCCTTATCGATAATGCATACCTACTTACATCGTGCCAAATACAAATAGTAAAATTGTTGAATTGTCTACATATCTTTGTTGTTTTTACAGGATAGAGGAGCTGACCTGTGGTGGGATGGTCGAACAGGTGCAGGAGGCCTTTGGAGAAACGATGACCTCTGTAGTATCGCTATGCGCTCGCTACCCCATTGCTTGTGCCAACAGTATTGGCTTGCTTTGCACAATCCCATACACCAGGCAAGTGAATCCATATAGAATTATCTATCCTGTGATATTCTTCATACTAAATGCCTAACTTCATTTGTTGTCGTAGGAGTGAGGAGCAATGCCTTGTTCGCAGTGGTCTCGTCCAGCTTATGGATAGACTGTGTAGTTTAAGTGGTCAGAGGGAATGCAGCTCAAATGAGAAACAGACCAAGAAGCAGAAGGTGGCCACAATGGCTTGGGCTGCCTTTCAGGTGCTGGCTAACCGGTGCATCGAATGGGAGAAGGTGGAAGGTTTGAAACATTTTTACTCTCACGCTGATCATTAGAAATCTGTGATCAAGAACAGAAATGCTGCTTTTGATCTAGAAGAAAGTATATTTTTTGTAACTATAGATTAGATTATCATGTGTCCTTGAAGGTGGCTCTACAGATGCAGTTCATTCTGGTCTGGCAAGGCAGGTCTCCAGTCTGCTGACCAATCACCTAGCCAGAGCTACAGAGTGCTGTGGCAATCAGGCAGCTGGCAATGACGCTTTACAGGATGTGCTCAGTCTGCTCAATGATCTTTCCAGGTAAAGTTGAAATTATTTTTATGCTATGAATGTTCATAGTATGCGATCTGTAGATTTTACTGTATAATCCCTGTTTATTTTTCATCCCAGGAGCCACATTGGGAAAGCTATCCTTAGCCAGCCTGCGTGTGTTTCAAAGCTCTTATCTCTGCTGCTTGATCAGAGACCCTCTCCAAAGCTAGTACTTATCATCCTGCAGCTCTGCCGAGCTGCTCTGCCTCTCATGAGTGTAGAGGACTGTGGTAATGTGGCTTTGCCCTCGTGGAGTTACTCTATTAACACACTAGATGCTGAGCAACAGGATGCCAGCGACCCAGCTTCACGTATTGCTGCCTTGCTGCTAGCTAAACTAGCAGACTATGTAGTACCAGGTTTGTTCAAGATCTAATAAACATAGATTGTGTTTTTGTCATTTTATTGAAATTTTAAATACCAAAAACACATGTTAAACCCAATAGTCATTATGTCACTTTTTCTTCTTTTGCCAGGATGTCAGACTCTTCTTTCCCCCAGCTCCTCTGAGCCAGACACTAGTCTGTCTCGTGCCAGTTCCAAAGGAGCTCTCAAGCCAGAGGATATTGGGGAGGAGGCAGAAGCAGTTGATGGCAAGCTGTCTATTTTTATACACAAACGAGAGGATCAGTCATCTCATGAGGTTTTGCAACCACTTCTAAGGTACATTGATTGTGATCTGTCAGTTTAAATATTAAATATTTGTAAGATGACTCTGGGTTTCTCTTACTCAAGTGCTTTTCTATTCTCTCCACAACGTAGCAGCTCTGAAGGACGTCCTTTTCGACTTGGCACTGGAGCAAACATGGAAAAGGTGGTGAAGATGGACAAAGATATGACAAAGGTAAAAGTTGTATTATGAGTGAAAAAATAGAAATAAGCCTAAAGTTGAAAGTACATATTTCTAATAGGAAACCAATTGTATTATTTTCTGTGTTTTATGTTTGTGCTGTTATAAATGCTCTGCAGAGCGGAAGCTGTGAGGTGATCACAGAAGAAGCATCGGCTGCCCTCAGGAAGGCTAACAAATGGGCTCAGTCTGGTCTCATAGTGAGTGTTGGTCCACCTGTGGAGACGTTGGCTCAAGAATCTGCAGGGGGCGTTACGACTGGAGACAAGAAGAAAACTGCACAGACGGCTGTTTGTAGGGACAGAAATGCTGAGTTGGCCAGGTGCTGTTTGTTTGATTTACTGATTGGATGCTGAAATTATCTCTACTTTAGGCAGCCCTCATTCTTTAGGCCTTATTTAAGTAATAAAGAGAAATGGCACATTTCAGTATGAATGTGTATGGTAGGCAGTGGATTTGACTCCAGTTCTTCTTTAAATCTGCTCTAAATAGGTCAGACCCTGTGAGGCCGTTTATCAGTGGCCATGTTGCCAACAGTATGGCTGCTGAGGTTATTGCCTTGCTGCATAGTCTTCTCACTGCACCAGAATCCAACACTGCACAGATCTGGACCAGTACTGTGGAAAAGGTAAAGCAACATTCTGCTTGTATCTTTGTAGCTACTGCCATGCTCAGTATTAAAAACTCAAGCTGTAATTTGCTGCAGGTTCTCATTATTGGGTCTTGGGGAAAAAAAGAAATTTTAAGAAATGCTTTGTTTTGGTTTATTTAAAAGCCCAACATTCTTTTCTTCTTTGCATTAGGTGCTTTCCCGGGCACTGATGTTTATCCCTCAACTGGGGAAATATGCTGAGAGTATCCTGGAGAATGGCAGCAGCAGTGGCAGAAAACTAGCTAAACTTCAGGCTATTGGAAGGCAAGCTGTTGCTGCACTTTGTGCACTTGGAGGCTTCAAAGAAACTATTAAGATCGGTTCTGAAGTCCAGGTTGGTAAAATCAGATAAAATACAATTTTGTGCTTTCATATTATCATAATTCAGTCCAATTCAGTTTATTTATATAGCACGAAGTCACACTGTACAGAAACATTATACAATTATAAAAGAACATTATAAAAGCCAATTAGTAAAAGTTCTCTATCTAAGGAAGACAGAAGATTGTTGAACCTTCACGTTGCTGCAGTCTGGCTGTGGCAGAGTGGTTAGAGCAGTCGTCCTCCAATGCAAGAGTTGGGGGTTCGAATCCACCAGCAGTCACATGCCAAAGTGTCCCTGGGCAAGACACTGAACCCCTTGCTGCCTCCGATGTGTGTCCCATCGGTGTATGAATGTGATAAAGCTCTGATTAGTCTCTTTAGAATGATTTGTTCAATTAGCTTTGTAGAGATCTAGTAGAGTGCTGTATGAATGGGTAAATGAGGACACAGATTGTGTTGTAAAGTGCTTTGAGTGTCTTGATAGAAAGGCGCTATATAAGTACAGTCCATTTTTCATTTAAGCAAGCACAAAGGCAACAGTGGAAAGAAAAAACTCATTTTTAACGGGAAGAAACCTCCAGCAGAACCAGGCTCAGGACGAGCGGCCATCTGCTTCAACCGACTGGGTTTGAGAGGACAGGAAGGGAAACAGACAAACAGAATGGAAGGTTCAGGTGTACTTTCTATTGGAGGGAAGACAAATCTATTTATATTTAATTCTAATTTTTATAGATATTCTGCAGGTGGAGGACAGCAGTCCTGGCAACTTTTTTAATGTGGGAGTGAAAAGACATGCCCTGATCAAAATTAAAACCAAGTTTTTTTTACATTAGAATTGGAGGCCAAATTAATGCCATCCAGAGAAAATGAAAGGCTGCAAAGTTTATTCCCAAGATGCTCAGGTCCAAAAACCACAACCTCTCTCTTGTCTGAGTTTAAAAGCAGAAAATTAAGTATTACTGTGTTGCATTTTTTATTCTAGATAAAACATATATCTCTTTTTCATTATGGATTTGTTGTGTTAACCAGCATATTTACTGTGATTCCTGTGTTGTACAGGTGTTGGGTAAAGGGGTGCTGGGTAGTGTGGGCATTGTCATGTCCATAAATGAGCAGGAGGGCATCGCTACTGTCAGATTTCCTTCTTGTGAGTACAGGAGAGCCTGCAAAGCCTCAGATGTTTTGACAGTACCAATATCACGCCTCTGCACTCCTAGATCTGAGGTAAGAATTTAAGAGACAGTAAGAGACAGAGCAGTCATCATTATTATTATTATTATTATAGAAAGTGTCGAGCTGAATTTGACTTCCTTCACTCTCTCCTTGTATCTCATCTCTGATAGGCTCTCCCCATCTATAAGCTCTCGATCACAGAAAAGGTGGTACAAGCAGTACAGTCGATGCTGCTGCCTCAAGAGGGCAGTCTCTCTATACACACCTCTCTCCCAGCTACGGGAGATGGCTCAAGCCCAGTAATGGCTGCAGTGCGCTTGCTGGCTGAAATCAGAACGAGGTTAGTGAGCACTCCCGTAAGGAAAATGGTGTTTTGAAATGGTCAAAGACTGATTCTTCTAGCCGAGGGATCTGCAACCCTCATGATCAAAAGAGCCATTTTTACACCTTCATTCATTAAATTAAATATATCCAGAGGCGCAATAACCTGTTAAAACTGTGATTATCAACTGGTGGCCCATGGGCCACTTTAGGTTTATTGGAGGAAACTTTGTGGCCAATAGGGGTGATATTATAAAGCTAAAAATATCTAATGATTTTTAACATTTATTGATATTTTTACAATTTAAGTCAAATGAAAAGACCAGACTGGGGGGGGGGGGGAGGCAACTTTTTAAATAAAAAAACATCAATGAACTATGCAGACCTATGTGATTTTTTTTTTTTTTTTTTTTTTTTTTTGTTTTGGGTGGGGGGGGGGGGGAACCTTACATACAGAAATAAAGCAAAATGTTAAAGTAAATATTTGCAAAAGAAATTACAGGAAAACAGCTAAAACTAGTCGTTTTTTGTTGTTTGTATAACAACCAATAAAATTCAGTTTTATGTTAGTTTTTGTCCAAGCTTAAAAGACACTGCAGAGGGACCAAAGAGCTGCGTGTTGCTCCAGAGCCACAGGTTGCAGACCCCTAATCTAGACTGTAATGTTGAATGAAAGGGTTTTTAATGGAAGGATGTTTTCTTTATTTTCAGGGCATGCCTGGTTATGGCCCAGCTGTTGGAGGATAGCTCCTTCTGTGAAGAGTTCATTCAGCAGTGTCCAGCTGCTGTTGAGGTTCTCAACCTGGTCGCTCAGGAGTGCAGTCCTGGTAAGAGTCTCGGATCTCTTGAGTAGGCTATTTTTTTTTTGCTAGATTGTTCTGATGGATTCATTTTATCTTGTTCAGGAGAACGTCTTGTTATGGTTGAAGCACAGTGTGAGAGAGTAAGAATGCTGTACCGGGACTGTGCTCGACCACCGCCTCCTCCTCTGCAGACAGACAGGCGGCAGGTGGGAGCTGATAACTTCTTTGTTCAGTTGTCTTTTTATATCAGCCATCAATTGGCACAAGACATCTCTTCTCATGTAACAAGCAGATTTAATGAAATATAATTTTGTTTTCATTAAAAGTAGTAGAAAACCTTCTTTAGACTGTTTGCTTATCTATAATCTATTATCAAATTAGACACAATTTTGGTATTACAGTGTTGAAATTGTCTAACTCTGTAAGCCTCTTTCATTTATATCCTTATTGCTTTTTATGTGCTTGTCTGGTTAGCCAAAGGAGATCACTTGGTGTCCGTCCAGAGTGTTCCCTCCAGTCCGTGCATGCCTCTTCTCATCCCGGCTCACTTCAGTCACCTTCTTGGCTGATCCAAGTGCTGGAGGTGGGCTGCCCAGAGGAACGTTCATTTATGCCACCTCTCCTGTACCTATTCAGGTGGGTTTATCTTAGAGAAAGCTACTCCACCAGTTGTAATTACTAGATCAGTCTTTTGAGCATGTATTATGAGATGATGCAATGCTTGAAAATTGAAAGAATTTTCAGAGTCTTTAGTTTGTTCCTTTTTGTCCCTGCAGGCGCCATCTTTTTACTGGGAGATAGAAATTGTCTCCTATGGAGACTCTGAGGAGGACAGTGGCCCAATTGTGTCTTTTGGTTTTGCCACAGAGGCAGAAAAGAGAGATGGAGCGTGGACGAACCCTGTCGGCACATGCTTGTTTCACAAGTATGAACACCTGCATTTTGTATTCTCCATGTGCTCTGTGAAATTATTATTTTTAACTACTTTTTTAATTGTTTTTCTTTGATTTCTGTGCGTGTGTCAGTAATGGCAGGGCAGTGCATTATAATGGCTCCAGCTTGCTGCAGTGGAAGAGTGTCAGGCTCGATGTGGTTCTGCTTCCTGGTGAGATGGAACAATAAAAATGCTTATTTCCACTCAGTCTCTATGGTTTACTGTAGTTAGAATAGAACTGGATACACAGTTAAACTCTTTAAAGAGGACTGACTGGTTGCTTTAAAAAGCAAGCCAACAAAACTTCCCGTAAGATGTGTAGTTTACTTCTAATATGATTTAGGTAATAAACTTGTATTTATAAATTCAGGTGATGTGGCTGGAATTGGCTGGGAGCGTTCTGAGGGCACTCCTCCTCCCCCTGGACAGGCCCCTAAAGGCAGGGTCTACTTCACTTACTGCGGCCAGCGGCTTCATCCTGTTCTAGAAGATGTAGCGGGTGGAATGTGGCCTCTTGTTCACATTCAAAAGAAGGTGGGATTATGTGGGTTAAAACGACATACATCGTTTTTCACTTTGTACAGTTTACTTACTCTATATTTGCACATTATGTTTTGTGTAACATCATTATAATTTTTTTTTTATTTTCTTTTTTATAGAACGCAAAGATTCGTGCCAACTTCGGAAACCGCCCTTTTGCATTCGCAGAAGGCCAAGCACACAGGAATGCGGCTGACTTGTGTGTGGATCTTGCAGAAGAAATAAGTGCAAATTTTGAAGCACTCCCTTTTGCTATGGCCTCAGACAGTGATAATGATGCGGGGGCCAGTGTCACTTCAGATTCTGGCTCTCATGGTCCACCTTGTCGGATTGCAGCTCTTGCAGTTGCTCTGCAGCGTATGTCTGATGTTTGTTTTAGTCTAAATGTTAATGATCACTGATCATTCCCATTTTTTCAATAGTTTTTTACTTTTTATTTTATTTTATTGGTACAGAGTACAACAGTGACCTGTCGTGCCATTACAAGGTGGAGCTCAGCTATGAGAACCTGGTCACCTCAGGTCCTGATTCACATCCCCCACCTATCGCAGATGATGAGAGTGACGACGAGGATGATGATGATGCTCCAAGAGTAAATACAGTCCTCGCTTGTTTCAATGAGGTTGAACAAATGGTTTTGTCTGTATTTTATTTATTTTGATTTGGTCTGTCATTAGGAGGATCACTATGCTCTTCTGGTAAAGGCCTGGGAGACGAAGGTATTCCCTACAATACGTAGGCGGTTTCGCAATGAGGCAGAAAGAAAATCTGGCTTGGACCAAATCAAGGGTGCCCTGCAACTGGGTAAATAATAAAAAAAATGTTCATTATAACATCTTGTAAATGTTTGGTTTTGGATATAAGCAAACACCATAAAATACTGGTTGTGTATTGCCTTTTTTTTTTTTTGATTAGACCATTAAATGAACAGGTCTTTAAGAGTAATAAACCCAAGAGGCATCTCAAATATGACAAATCATTGTATGAACAATGGGTTTAATGAGGGAAAATTAACAGAATAGTGATCTAATTGTATAATTCTCAAGACCATGTGGGTTTTTTTTTTTTTTTGGTGACTTTATTTTCTGAAACAGGCATGGTTGACATTGCAAGACAGACTGTGGAGTTCCTGTATGAAGAAAATGGTGGCATTCCTCGAGATCTCTACCTCCCGACTATTGAAGATATTAAGGATGAGGCCAACAAGTTCACTATTGATAAAGTCCGCAAAGGTACAAAAATATTATGAAAAATAAACACTAAATATTGTTAACATTTGTAGCAGGATTAAACATTCTTCTAATCAGTCATCACCCATTTCAAGATGGACTGATCCTCCTACTGAAGTTCACATCTGCATCTGAATGTGTTATGTCATTTAAGAGATCCTCATCACAACGTATTTTTAACACAGGTCTGACTGTAGTCATCCGCTGTCCTGACAGCAACAACACCAACAGCACCACAGGGGGAACAGCACTGCCCAAATTTGCAATCCGTGGGATGCTGAAGACCTTTGGTTTGCATGGGGTTGTTCTGGATGTGGACTCTGTAAATGAAACATTTAGTCACTTTTTACATTTTTATTATCTTCACTTCATATTTGTTTGTAAATTAATTTACGTGTGCATTTGCTAAGGTGAATGAACTGGTGCAAGTAGAGACGTACCTGCGCAGTGAGGGCGTGCTTGTGAGATACTGGTATCCCATAGAGATGCTTGAACGCCCACCTGCTGGATCTCGACGTACTGCGGCTAATGGCTTGGTCTCATTGGACAGTAGCAACATTCAGATTCATAGGTACCATGAAATTCAATGTGGACAAGCATGACTTATCTGAATCATGGCTGCTGAGCTCTTGATCCTTTTTGCTGCTGTGCTGTAGGGAACTTCTCCGCTGTGAAAGCGCACTGGCTCGATTATACTGTCGCATGGCGTTACTAAACATCTTCGCCCCCAAGAATCCCCACACGTTCACTCGTCTCTTCCACATACCTGCTATCCGTGATATTACTTTGGAACACCTGCAGCTTCTCTCTAATCAGCTGCTGGCGCCTCCTCTTCCCAGTAAGTCTAAAATGATCTTTTAATTGACTTGCAGTGTCAAAGAAATGCTCTGTCTTGTGCTAACAATGCCAACTTCATTCTTCCTGCAGATGGCACTATTAGTTCCAGCTCTATTCTCTTGGCTCAGTCATTGCTTCACAACCTTGAGGGCCAAAGCTGCTCTCCCACAGACCTGTTTTACCAGGGCAACGCTCAGCCCATCCGGGAGTGGTTGACAGTGGCCATCACTCGTGCCTTGCATCAAGGAGAGGAAAGTTTACTGGAGCTCACAAAGCAGATCTGTTGCTTCCTACAGGTCAGCACAGCCAGCCAGTGTGCAATGTAATGAATATGTCTCTGGTTATACACCTGCACGGTGGTAAACGTCTCTTAAAAAATGGTTGTAATTACAGAATGCACCTGAACAGTTTACATCAGAGGAGTTTCCTGTGACGGAGTCAAAAGTTGGCATGGATGTCAGCTTTCCAGGCGCTGCGTTTGTGAGTGTGTCCTGCAAAGAAAGCCAGCTAGGCTGCCGCAAAGAGTGAGTTACCGTAATATAAACTAGTACCATAAAGAATAACACATTTGGGCATTTTGGTTCCTTTTATTTACTTTATTTTTTTTAACCTTCTCTTGATTTTTATCTCTTCTATTTTTTTTTTAGTTCCAGCCTGTACAAGGCTCCCTGGGCTCGAGTCATGGTGTATGGCCTGGGTCATAAAGTTCGTAGAAATGGTCAGCTGAATCTGATGGAGGCCGTGTGTTATCCTCTTGATGCCTCTCCTACCAACACAGGTCTTACTCCTCCCCCCATCACCAACCAATACCCCTCAGTTATCATCCCCACTGATAAAGTGCACATCAAACTGGGTTAGTATCTTAAGTACAAAAAAATAAATTAATCATAGCTGTGTCACATTTCCTTTGAAAGAATGAGATTGAAATCAGTTTTCTTTTTTGATTCATAGGGGTGTCACCCCCACCTGGTGCTGTACTGGTGCTGCACTCTTTGCCGTTAGAGTTTCCTTTGGCCATGGCCTTTGCTGAGCAACTGTTGACGTGGAAGCTGGGAGAGAGCTGTGAACGACTGGAGGATGAGCTGGACACAGTTCCCTCGTCAGTGCTGCTGCAGGTGGTAGAGCTACTTGGTAGGTGCACACCTTTTTTAGCTGCATTTATAAAATACTTGAATATTTCTTTGTGTTTAGTTACCAGCAGTTTTAATAAAATAATACCACCATCAAGTATACTGAATAATGCTTACTATAATTGGGTTATTTATAATTAAAACATTTGCTCTGTAATTTCTTATAAAACCATGGGTGTGAAAATTGAAGTAAAATATGATGCAAAGTTTGTTCTTGTTCTTGGAAAAACAACAGTTTATACACATGTTAAACCCACGTAATAATTATTCGTAACGACTAGGCTTTCAAATGAAATAACTTTCAAAGATGAGTCCGACAGTGGAAGAGGATTCCTAATCTTTCTGTCATGTTTGTAGGTGGATTGCTTTGGACTACTGATCTGGCACCCTCCATCAAAGAACTGATCTTTCACTTGTTAGCCGAGCTTTTGCGGAAGATCCATCACTTAGAGCAACGCAAGAGCCCCGCTGGCCTCTCCAGCTCCATTGCTCTGCTGCTTAACCCTTGCCTCGCAGTGCTCATGGCCATGCAAACAGAACTTCGAAAGCTTTATGACCGAGAAACTCAGGGATGGACTGCTGGAGGGCCCGGAGCAGGAGGGTCTTCTTCTGGAAACATTGCGTTGGCACCGGGGGCAGAGCAGAGCCGGTTCTCTACCTACTTCCATGCCTTGATGGAGATGTGTCTGGCAGTGGCAGAGGTGACACTTCCCCTCAATGTTGGCAACTCTTCAGTGGGAACTCTTTCCTCTACAAGTGCCCCTAACCTTAGTGACTCCTCTTCATCATCTTCATCATCCCCAGGCCAGACTCCACAAAGCCCCAGTCTGCTATCCAAACGTAAAAAGGTGAAGATGAAGCGTGAGAGAGCAGCGGCTGCTGTGGCAGCAGCTGTCTCTGGGAAACGGGGAAGTGGAGGTGCAAGGTTGTCAGAAAGCGACAGTGCCCTCCTGAACATGGCAGGAGGAAAACCTGAGGACATGCTATGGTTCCACCGCTGCCTCACACTTCTGATGATCTTGCGACATCTTGCCAATAAGGACCCACAAGGCCTGAGTGTAACGAGCGATGCAGTGACAGATGCTTGCCAGGCCCTGGTGGGTCCCACTGCTCACAGCCGCCTGCTGGTTCTCTCAGGAATCCCCACGCACCTCGAGGAGGCCGTGGTTCGGAATGCTATCCGCAGGGCTTGCAATGCACATGGTGGACTCTTCAAAGATGAAGTCTTCATACCTCTGCAGGAAGAGGACCCTAAAAAGAAATCAGGAGTTGGAGTGTCAAGCCCTCAGGATGCCAAAGTAGTCCCTGAACCTGAACGACCCTTTCCCAGCAGTGGAGGTCTCGAGAGTCCCGACAGCTCCAGCAGTGTCACTCCAGCACTGAGTGTGAGCGCTTCAGCTTCTACTAGCCAGACCTCTATTTGTAGCTCCTCTCAGGGCGTTTCCCGCACGGTCAGTGAACTTTCTGTTGACCAGGAGCTTTTAGCAGTTCCACCTCTCACCCCTGCAGCTGCTGCTTCTGCTGTCACATACCCCACTCAGGGCCCCCAAGACCCTCAGGCCGTTTCTAGTCAGGAAAGTCTTGATACCTCCCTATGTAGCACAGGAAGCCTGGGGAGTCTTGGCAGCTTGGGGGAGCCTGTCGACAACACAGATACACCATCTGTGTCTGATGGGGGCTCTTTACACACAGTCACTTCTTTTGAGAGTAACGCCGTCACATCCAGGCCCATTAAGGGCTATGCTGTCATCGAGGTGGGTTCAGTTACAGCACCAATAATATTCTCTCTCTTTAATTTTGTATAATCAAAACTATTGTGAAATTTTTGTTTTTTTTACATATAGATTCGCTCTCGAGCTAAGGTGGAAAAGATTCGAGCCAGTTTATTCAACAGCAGTGACCTGATTGGCTTGTCCAGCCTGGAAGGAGAAGAGGAGCTGATGGAGTTGACCAATGAGGAGATCCTCACTGTTTCAAGTGTTAACCAAAGCCTGTTTGATACACAGGGAAGCTCTGCCCTAGAAGATTACTTCCTGGACAAGTCCATCAAAGGTTGGACATTGACTCAGATTTTTACATCTTTTAATGTAGTGCAAACATAACTGCTAGACTGAAATGAATTTATCCTTAAAGGTGACAAGCTTGTACCTGGAGCGAGAGACGTCCTTACTGATATTTTTAAAAGCTGTGTGCACTCGGAGCAGATGCTCAGCCTCACGCCATCCAAGCCTGTTAAAGTATCTGACATTTACCTCAGCAAGGAGCAGATCAACTCTCAGACACCTGGAAACCTGCTACATACTTTTTTCACCAACATTCGACCGCCTAAGAAAATGCTTGAAGACCAACTTACTCTGGTATGTAACAGCTGGTGAACAGGACACCTATGCATACTCTGCCCTTCATTTTTTTTGCCTCTGCACATTAAAACTGTTATGCGTGCATTAGAGAGCATTAATAAATACACAGAGCATTTAACAAGTTCAACTTGTTCAAATACTCAGTTTGTTCTTTAAATACTTTTTTCAACAGTTAAATCTTAAAGCGCTCCCTGCTTTACATAACGTATTAGTTTAAATGATCTGTTTTTGTACAGATTTTAAGGAAGTATGGAACTCCCAAGCCTAACAAGAACAAGTACAGTAAAGCTGGCAAAGAACAACATCAAGGCAAGGTTGTGAGCACCAAGAGACCAATCACGAAGCCTCTTACCAAGGAAAAGTCTGTCCTCAACAGTGTCAGGTAAGACATTTACTATAGAAAACTATACTATAGAGCAGGCATGCTCCTTCAGGAGGTGTCACGTTGGTGCATTAACACTCTAACATGATACCTGACTCAACTAGTCTTGTCTTTTTCAGAACGGCACTGAGTGAGAAGAAGGCAGTCCTCAAACCAAAGTCTCCTGAGAAATCCAAACCTGACGAGAAAGATGTAGAAAAATCTCCTGCCAAAAAAACTGAAGGTTGGTATAATTTACTAAACAATAACTGCACACAAAGGTAGAATTAATTAAACCTAAATGTAATACCACTAGGCAACTTATTTTGGAGACTTATGCAGCATTGATATTGATATTGCACGTAGTAATCCTGTATTATTGATAACTTATGACAGTCCCTGGTCTGTTTTACATCTTGGGTTTGTGAGCCGCTTCACTTATGTTTTTTCTTTAGTCTCCGAGGAGAAGTGCTTAACTCTGGAAGGTTTTCACAAGTTTGCTGTTGACCGGGCCAAGCAGGATATCCGCAGCATGTGGAGAGCCATTTTGGCTTGTGGTTATGACCTTCACTTTGAAAGGTGAGACATGGAGAATTATAGCTCTTAGACTGTTTACAGTCAAATATCATCACACATACGCAGATTACACGCAAGACATCATGTTGTTAGCGTTGTCTTTTTTTTTTGTTTTGTTTTGTTTGTTTTTAGATAACTTTTTTGTAGAATAGCTTTTGCTATCTTTAAATATTTACATCCATTTTAGATTAATTAAAAAAACGACACATCACAAGTTTATTTCTCAAAATCCCACTGTAATTCTTTTAACTTTATAATAATGCATATTTAAACTTTTTGTTGTTTTGTTTCTACTAACAGACACTCAGTTTGTGTATTTAGAAATTACAGTTGCCATCAGTATTTTTTTTTCTTACAACAAAGACACATTAAACAATTTATTAGAACTTCTATCACAATATTTTAACAATAATATTTTATACAGTTGGCCTATTTGTGGATAGTTTGTGTTACTATAAGCATCCAGCATTAGATTGCATTAACCTTTGTGTAAAAGTTGAATATCTTTTGTTTTAAAAGCTCCTCTCCTTCTATATTAGGTGCACCTGTATAGACACCCGCCATGCCCAGATGGCTTGTAGAAAGTGGAGCTTAGAAATGGATGTGGCATTGGTACAGTATATCAACAGACTGTGTCGCCACCTGGCTATCACACCAGCCAGACTGCACCCCCATGAAGTGTATCTGGACCCCAGCGATGCTGCTGATCCTCGTGTTGCCTGCCTCCTCAGTAAGCACTTTGATTGACTCGAAAGATTCAAATAAGCATTTTATTTCTACACTGATGCAAATGAGCTTTTTCCAACATATGTTCATCTGTAATATAATCTCAAAAGTGAACTCCAACATTTGCTCTTTTTTTAGTCATCTATAACTTTTTAATTGTATATTCACGTCTTCAGATGTGCCTGTGGAGAGTGTGCGCTTGCGCTTTGCCTTGCTGCAGTCCCTCAACAACACCCTGGAGGGCTTCTTCCTCCCACTTGTGGAGTTGCGACAGACACATACGTATCAGAACAGCATTGCGGCACTGTTGTGTGAGGCAAAAGGTGAGTGGGATCTTGGCACACGTCTACTGACTCCATCTGTTTGGGTTAGGCTTTTAAGTTTGGACATTTAGGTTGTCTCTGTGAACTTGTTGCCATAGAGACAACCTGCCTGCATGCTAAAAATGAAGCAGTCTTTTGTTACCTTCATTTGGAGATCGTCTTTAGTCTTGGAACTTTAAAATAGTGAGACATCATATTGTCAGACACGAAGGCAAATGTTCTGAAAGTTGTAATTTATGCAATATAGAAGAAGATTGTGTAGAGTTTGCTCACCATTTTCTGTCAAAGGACATTCAGCTGAACTTTAGATTATAGTTGAACATTTTGTCCTTCCATCACCTAAAGCATAATCTTTTATAGAATATATTATTATCAGCTTAAATTTAACATATTAATGTTAAATTCAACAATTTAATATTTGGTTTGGAAACCAATAAAAGTGCAACAGGGTACAGTATCTGATGAGACTTTTTTTAACCCACCACTGCTCTCTCCACTGATTCAGGCCTAATCTTCTACGACACTAAGGTCACTGTAATGAACAGAGTATTGAATGCCACAGTGCAGCGAACAGCTGACCATGCTGCTCCAGAGATTACACTGGACCCTCTAGAAATAGTTGGAGGTAGGCCTTCCTCTTACCTGTATTTTTTCCCCACTTTTAATTGCAATGAATTGCAGCAGCCTTTTTAATGTGTCTGTTTGTATTGCAGGTGAAATCAAATCATCAGAGAACACTTATTTCTGCCAGGCAGCACACCAGTTGTCTTGTGTGCCGTCATCCCAGCTCTGTGTGAAACTGGCCAGCGGTGGAGATCCAACATATGCCTTCAACATCCGCTTCACTGGAGAAGAAGTTCATGGCACAAGTTAGAATTTATCCTTTACATTTTATTCTCTCTTGCCTTGCTGTCTTAATTCCAAGATTGAACTTTTCTCGAAACCAAGCAGCATTTTTTATGAATGTGTCTATCCAGGTGGCTCTTTTCGACACTTCCTGTGGCAGGTGTGTAAGGAGTTACAGAGCTCTGCTCTTTCCCTGCTGCTTCCCTGTCCCAGTTCTGCAGCCAACCGTAACAAGGTAACCCTTCAATATCTTGTGTCGTTGCCGTTTGTTCTTCCCAACAAGGCTTACTATATATAACATATTTTGGATCTTGCTCTTACTGTCTGAGGTATTCCCTATAAAACACCTGTACATTTTTAAACCAGCATAAACATGAAGCTGGCCTTAAATATTTGCACGTCTTCATAAAACTGATGGTTCTGTTCACAACGGTCACAGTGTGTTTTTATTCTCAGGGAAAGTTCATCCTGACTCCCAGCCCCATCAGCTATGCAGAAGAGCAGTTGTTGCACTTCTTTGGTCAGCTGTTAGGCATAGCCATTCGCGCTGATGTCCCACTTCCTTTGGACCTACTGGGCTCGTTTTGGAAGGGCCTCGTTGGCAAACCTCTTGACCCAGAGCAGGACTTGCAGGAAGCTGACGTCCTCACCTACAACTACGTCAAGAAATTTGAAAATGTAAAATAAATTGTAATGTATACCACAGTGCTCATCTTCCTTTTATTGCTCCCACATTTTATTCTCTTGTTTCTGCTTCCCATCTATATTTCAACTAAGGTAGTGTTGGCTGAAATTGATGATGACAAGTTTATGATCAACAAAGATACATTGTCTGACTGTTGCATGTTTTTGAATGTTTTTATTCTTGTTAAACACCAGCCATACAGCTAGTGCTGTAGTCAAAATGTCAGGTTGCAATTGACCTCCAGCAAGGCCACAGCACATTTTGCATTAGTGAACTTGTCAGTGTAAACACATGCCATTTGCCAGTGAAGTACATCTTTTCATTACCAGAGCTTTATTTCTAGTGAGTTTAAAATGGCCCCTGTTGCCGTTCTCTAATGCTGCAGGTGATTGATGAGAGTGAGCTGGAGGCCCTGTGTGCTGAAATCACCTCACAGCACCATTCAGGAGAAAGCCCAGACTCCCCGAGCCGGCCCTGCTGCACTTTTACCTACGTCACTATGACTGGTGAAGATGTGGAGCTTTGTCAGGGTGGGCGCAGCCTCGCTGTCAGGTACCATACATCTCAGTTGGTTTGTTATATTTGGTTCATTATCCTAATGTGCTCGTAAGTTTTATTTAACATAGTTTAAAGCTTTAAGGCATTGTCGTGTGTTTCTGTCCTACATACTTGTTTTCTGTGTGCGTTCAGCTGGGAGAATAAGGATGTTTATTCACGGGCGGTACGAAATCTTCGTCTGAGGGAGCTGGAGAATGTGGAGTGTATGACAGCGGTGCACGCTGGGCTCGGTTCCATCATTCCCCTGCAACTTCTGACCATGCTCAGCCCCTTGGAGATCGAGCTGCGCACATGTGGTTTACCTTACATCAACCTGGAGTTCCTCAAGGTGAATTGTCTTAAAGCTCCCTACAAGTTCTGTTACTGCCCTCAAATGCATGTGTTTTCACTTCCTTTACATGAACCCTCTCTGGCTGAGCCTCTTCCAGCTACGTCAGTGGAAGTTGATCTAGGAGGCCTTCTGTCTGTCCGTTCATAGTTTTACTATTTCTATTATTTGCTAATCATTATTACACGCTAATCTCTCTCTGCACAGGCTCACACCATGTATCAAGTGGGTCTAATGGAGACCGACCAGCACATCGAGTTCTTCTGGACCGCCCTGGAGATGTTCACTCAGGAAGAGCTCTGCAAGTTCATCAAGTTTGCGTGCAACCAGGAACGCATCCCGTTTACTTGCCCATGCAAGGACGGTGGGCCAGACACAGCCCATGTCCCCCCATACCCCATGAAGATTGCCCCTCCAGACGGGGCTGCAGGTATTGACTAACTGGTTCTCTCAGCAGTGCATCAGTCGGACTCGATACTCTTACCTCTGTGTGAGTCTCATATCAATGGTGTTGGTGTAGAAACTGCTGACCGTGATTATAAAATGGTCCATCTTGCAGCTGAAGACAGACTTTGAACTTTTCTTAAATGTGATTGTAAAATTATTAGTTTATATAATGAAGGAACACTGAACAGTTCAGAGCAAGAACATACAAACCGGATTCCAACAAAGTTGGGACACTAAACAAATTGTGAATAAAAACTGAATGCAATGACATGGAGATGGCAAATGTCAATATTTTATTCGTAATATAACATAGATGACAGATCAAAAGTTTAATCTGAGTAAATGTAACATTTTAAAGGAAAAAAATGTTGATTCAAAATTTCAGTGTCAACAAATCCCAAAAAAGTTGGGACAAGTAGCAATAAGTGGCTGGAAAAAGGAAATTGAGCATATAACGAACAGCTGGAAGACCAATTAACACTAATTAGGTCAATTGACAACATGATTGGGTATAAAAAGAGCTTCTCAGAGTGTCAGTGTCTCTCAGAAGCCAAGATGGTAAGAGGATCACCAATTCCACCATTGTTGCGCAGAAAGATAGTGCAGCAATACCAGAATGGTGTTACCCAGCGTAAAATAGCAAAGACTTTTAAGTTATCATCATCAACCGTGCATAACATCATCAAAATATTCAGAGAATCTGGAACAATCGCTGTGCGTAAGGGTCAAGGCCGTAAAACTCTACTGGATGCTCGTGATCTCCGGGCCCTTAAACGTCACTGCATCTCAAACAGGAATGCCACTGTCAAGGAAATAACAGAATGGGCTCAGGAATACTTCCAGAAAGCATCGTCAGTGAACACAATCCGCCGTTGCCAGCTGAAACTCTACAGTGCAAAGAGGAAGCCATT